GAGAAGATAGAGATAGATGATTAAAGATATAGATAGATAGATAGATAGATAGATAGATAGATAGATAGATAGATATAGATGATTAAAGATAGAGATGATAGAGATATAGACAGATAAGAGAAGATAGAGATGATTAAAGATATAGATAGATAGATAGATAGATAGATAGATATAGATAGATAGATAGATAGATAGATAGATAGATAGAGATGATTAGATAGAGATGATAGAGAAGATAGAGATAGATGATTAAAGATGCAGATAGATAGATAGATAGATAGATAGATAGATGATTAGAGATAGAGATGATAGAGAAGATAGAGATAGATGATTAAAGATATAGATAGATAGATAGATAGATAGATAGATATAGATGATTAAAGATAGAGATGATAGAGATATAGACAGATAAGAGAAGATAGAGATGATTAAAGATATAGATAGATAGATAGATATAGATGATTAGATAGAGATGATAGAGAAGATAGAGATAGATGATTAAAGATGCAGATAGATAGATAGATAGATAGATAGATAGATAGATAGATAGATATGGATGGAGATGGATGGATGGATGGACAGATGATAGCAATTAGATAGATCAATAAAGATAGATAGATGATACAGGTGATAGAAACATAGAGGGATGGATAAATTGATACACAGATACACGTGATAGCTAATTGAAAGATAGATGATAGATATACAATACTGTAGATTAGATAGATTCTAGACATAGAAAGTTAGAAAGATGACAGAGAGACGGATGGATAGATGGGTTAGATATAGATTAGACAGGCAGGAAAATAACCTGAGAATTTGTCAAACCGATCTATCTATCTCCTGTGATTATATCTGCTGTGTCCACCATTTTGTGAGAGCAGTGTACAATCAAAATTCCAAATATGTTCTCCAATCTAAGTGGTTAGGAGACCCTGCTCCAGATGTTGCTGAACTACAAGCCCCAGCATCCTTCACCCTTTGTGTGTTGGGCCTGAGGGTGGGTATCTTCTGGAAAGCCACAGCTCTTCTCTTCTTGGGGCAGGGGTGAGGAACGTTAAGAGTAGAAGTAGGGACGAAATGTTGGTTTGGAGATCCATTAGGATACTCACCGCTTTGATCTCGCGGTCCAGCAGCTGCCCGGGACAGGAGTAGTTATCGTCCATGTAGGGGCATTTGACCTCCGGTTCTGGGCTGTTGAGGATGGTCCCTCTCAAGCAGTCCCTGATGATGCAGGGAGAAAGTACAGAAGAGATCATCATACAACTGAACCAGACCAAGAACTTCCAGAGAATTCTGATATGGCCATGAAGAGCACACCTGGACACCGATAGAAGAGAATATTTGTAGCTGAGGGTTGAACTGTGAGGTCCTTGGGGCTCTCTGAGCTTGATGCTACCACTGATGATGTCCCCTAGTTGGGTAATGAAATGTCTGCAAGAAAACCACCAAGCTCAGACAGCACCAAGGACCACACGCTTTGATACCTCTTGATCACCAAGAGCTCTGAATTTAGCTGTCTCCTAAACCATCAAGATATCACTGAGGTAGGAACTAGCAATTCCAATACTAGAGTGACCAATTATGGAAACCCATCTTAGATGTCTCCTAAGACCGTCAAGAGATCACCGAAATAAGAACTAGCAATTCCCATATTAAGGTGACCAGTTATATAAACCCATCTTAGATGTCTCCTAAGACCATGAAGAGATCACCAAGGTAGGAACTGGCAATTCTCATACTAGGGTGACCAGTTACCTAAACCCATCTTAGCTGTCTCCTAAACCATCAAGGTATCACTGAGGTAGGAACTAGCAATTCCAATACTAGAGTGACCAATTATGGAAACCCATCTTAGATGTTTCCTAAGACCATCAAGAGATCACCGAAATAAGAACTAGCAATTCCCATACTAAGGTGACCAGTTACATAAACCCATCTTAGATGTCTCCTAAGACCATCAAGAGATCACCAAAGTAGGAACTGGCAATTCCATTACTAGAGTGACCAATTATGGAAACCCATCTTAGATGTCTCCTAAGACCATCAAGAGATCACCGAAATAAGAACTAGCAATTCCCATACTAAGGTGACCAGTTACATAAACCCATCTTAGATGTCTCCTAAGATCATGAAGAGATCACCAAGGTAGGAACTAGCAATTCCCATACTAGGGTGACCAGTTATATAAACCCATCTTAGATGTCTCCTAAGACCTTGGAGCCAAAGCTTACTTGCAGAAGGAATGGAGACATTCCCGGAGGGTCACCCCCTCTCCAGGCTCCAGGTTCATGAAGCAGATTGGGCACTGAATGGCTTCCTCAGAAAAGACCAAATTCTGGTTGTCCCACTCCAGGAGTTGCTTATAGTTTCTCTCTTTCTCTTCTTCTTCCACCTGTAACCAAAGAGAAATGAGAGGGTATGGTTTCTTACCTGTGTGGCTTTTAATTACTTAATTTTGTTTTGAGTTACACAATGACAATAAGGATATTCTATTCTATTCCATTCTATTCCATTCCATTTTCTATTCTATTCTATATTCTATTCTATATTCTATTCAGCCTGCAACACTGCATTCTAACCACCCTGCCACCATGGCAATAGAGTAGAGTAGAGTAGAGTAGAGTAGAGTAGAGTAGAGTAGAGTAGAGTAGAGTAGAGTAGAGTAGAGTAGAGTAGAGCAGAGCAGAGCAGAGTGAAATAGAAATAGCACTTATATACCATGGCAGTAGAGTAGAGTAGAGTAGAGTAGAGTAGAGTAGAGTAGAGTAGAGTAGAGTAGAGTAGAGTGAAATAGAAATGCCACTTATATACCATGGCAGTAGAGTAGAGTAGAGTAGAGTAGAGTAGAGTAGAGTACATTAGAGTGAAATAGAAATAGCACTTATATACCATGTCAGTAGAGTAGAGTAAAGTAAAGTAGAGTGAAATAGAAATAGCATATACCATGTCAGTAGAGTAGAGTAGAGTAGAGTAGAGTAGAGTGAAATAGAAATACCACTTATATACCATGTCAATAGAGTAGAGTAGAGTAGAGTAGAGTAGAGTAGAGTAGAGTAGAGTAGAGTGAAATAAAAATAGCACTTATACACCATGGCAGTAGAGTAGAGTAGATTAGAGTAGAAATAGCATTTATATACCATGGCAATAGAGTAGAGTAGAGTAGAGTAGAGAAATAGAAATAGCACTTTAGATAGATAGATAGATAGATAGATAGATAGATAGATAGACAGACAGACAGACAGACAGACAGATAGATAGATAGATAGATAGATAGATAGATAGATAGATAGATAGATAGAGATGAGATAGATGAGATAGAGAGAGAAAGAGGAGAGAGAGAATATGTAGAGACAGAGATGACAGATAGATGAGAGATATAGAGGGTGGATAGAACACTAGCACTTAAGACTTATATACCGCTTCACATTGCTTTACAGCCCTCTCTAAGCGGTTTACAGAGTCCGCCTGTTGTCCCCCCAACAATCTGGGTCCTCATTTTACCGACCTCGGAAGGATGGAAGGCTGAGTCGACCTTGAGCCGGCCAGGATCGAACTGCTGGCAGTGGGCAGAGTCAGCCTGCAACGCAGCATTCTAACCACGGCGCCGCCAGGGCTCTTCAGATCAATCCCTCCACCCAGGTGTGGCTGGCAAGCCCCACCCCTCACCTGCTCGTACTGGCGTGTGGCTTCCAAATCCCTTTGCAGCCATTCTCGCTCCTCTGCATCCAGCTGATAGCCTTCCGGGATGACGTAATTCAGGGGTCGTTCGCTGCAGCACATTTCGCAGCCGGGACGGGACGGTTTGT